GGTCAGTTTCAGCAGCGGCTGAATCTGGACGCCAGTTCCGACTTACATACAGATTCAACTTAAGAACAAACCTACAGTCCCTATCTTGTACGTAACCCGGGGACTGCCTGTAATTCGAAATAAATTAGTTCGAATTAGCGCTATAGTGCAGACATACCTTCAGAGCATTGCCAGGTTTAGTTTTTCAATGATGCTCATTTTGAATCCTGAGAAGATGAAGGATATTTGGAATATGCTAATAAACATTTCTGAGTAAAAAAAACCATATTGCACCACTGACATTCATTATAAACATTACATGAATTTGCTTCTTTAAAAATGAAGATAATTCAGCTCTGATGCTGGAAACACAGAGACGCATGATTTAATGTCTTGGGGCCAGATTCCATGGGCACTTACACAAGAGTGAATCCAGAGTAACTCCAGTGATGTTACATGGTTGTAAAAGCCTGTTTGAGAAGCGAATTGGTCCCTTAGATTTTCTGAGAAACCAAAAATATAAAAGATGGATTTGAATCCTTGGATCTGAACAGTTGTCTGATTTGGGAGACTGGAGATCAGAACCCTTGAGGCTCAGAACCACCCCTAAAACAAAAACAACATGCATGCTGATTATATTACTCTGTTGAATAGACAAACATGCATGCCAGGTCTTATCATGATAAAATACAGGGAGCAAAATGCCACCACAGCATGCATCACTTAAACACCTTTCATGAGAATAAAACAGAAGCAAACATTATTCTTTGTTTTGTGCACCAAAGGTTTGTGTACTATATAGTTTTGCTGTGTTGTGAAAGCCTTTAATATGTATGTACCAACTGAGCCCAACGAGGAGACCAATATTCCTTGCAATAATAAATGTGTATTATATACAGGACAGTGCCCAGAGGTCCCATTCAGTCCCACAGTGCTACATTGCTGTACAATTATATACAAAGTCCATACAAATTCCTGTGCATGTGCTACATTTCAACAGGGTCAATTCTGCCTCCATTGCCCTCTGAACAGTATCTTACTCCTGGAACCAGGTACCACTCAGATGCACAAAGGTGGCAGTATCAGACACTATGTTGGTTTCTCTTAATTTTTCACTAGCGTGCGAAGTGCGACTGAATATTGACTATATGATGCACCTATATGACACCAGGCAGATTTGTTACCTGGGATTAAATGTGGTCTCTATAATGATATTTTCTAGATCAGACTCTCCTTTTGTTGAATATGTTCAGGTGTCACAGGGAGGAGAATTTGACTACATTTTCTAAAGCATTCTTGTCCGCTTAAAGAGCGTATTTTTTTATGATCATTGTTTGAGCAGTTCTACTTCTCCCATCCCACCCTGGTCCCAGATACTAACCACAATTATCAAACTACTCTGAGTGGGAAAAGCCATACCTTAATTCTTTTGTCAGCAATAGCTTGATTAATAGCCACGGCAATAGACACACGACCCTTCTGATCAGAATACAAGATTCTGGCCTGGGAGCCAACTACCTGGAAAATGAAAAATGCCAGAGTGATAAGATTCCCTCTGCAGCTGGCTTATCTCCAAGCCCCAGATAAACGCAGTGGTAGAATCGGCCCCCTCCACTGGAGAAAACATGGAGTATTAATCTGCAAACAATCACTTTCCAGAAATAAGAAATTAACCCCCCCTCAATTGAACTGAGTTTTATCTATACTTGCACAATGAGATTTTTTTTTCTAATTAGTTGTTACAGTTCAGTAAATCCCACTTTTTCAACCAATCTCTTTGTCAGGTCTCCAGTCCCCTAATTACAATCCCCTTATCAACAGCTGAGAAGCAGAGATTGGAACTGGTGGTGGTGGGCTGGAAGGGAGAAAATACATGGAGACAAAGAACATCAAACATCTGTCTCACATAGCTATGCTCCCATCCAACCCTTATTTGGCAGCTGTTAGTCTGGCTTGAATCCTGCAATGCCGGCAGTTAACTGGCTATAGAGCCTAACTGTGCATCAAAAACCCCATCTCACATGCAATGCCACAGGACGAAATAGCTCTTCCCCTCTTTCTCCTGGAGAAATGGCTACTGGAACAGAACAGCAGTCATGAAGGAGAATACCCAGTGCAGATCAGTTCCTTCAAGATCAGATTTCAGGAGTGAAGCTCAGGGAAATCTAGTTATGAATAAAGTGTATCATGAGCCTAAGGGGCCTTGTTGAAAAATAAAGATGGACTCAAACCACAAAAGTTGGCTCTCGACTCTGTTTCCAAACATCTCAGAGTTGAGAGGGCGAGGTATGGGTTTGGTTCATTATGAAGATGGGGCCATTCACATTTGGATCTGGAGCTGGGATCCGATTTCAAACATCCCTGGCTGGAAAGAGCTATTTGGAGCCAGAGTTTTCACTGGTTCCCATTTTCTGCTTTTTGGTATGACTGTGTGTGAAAGAGGCTGTGCCTTTACCAAGCTGTGCTTTCCGGCTTCTTGAATCCAGCGGATATTGTCATGATACTGCTGCTTCACTGATGCACTGACTGCAATAGAACACAAGAAACCAGAAGGTTTAAAAAAATAGATGCAATGTGCTCTAAATACTACTGAATTTATAAAACAGCTCCAGGGGTCAAATACTATTTTCCACAGAGACACAACAGAGGAATATAGGAATGGCCATACTGGATCAGATCAGCAGCCAGTTACTTTAGAAGAACTGCAATAGACAGGTGTAGGATGATCTGTTTCAGATAGTCTGAGGCACTCTTCCAAATGCATAAAGATTAATTTAAACTCAGACACAAGAGGGTTTCCTACACTTTTGTTCACATTAAGTATAACAATTCTGGGTATCCTTATTGTGCCTATAAATGCTGAATACCTCTTTACTAAATTATTGACCCCAGCAATATCCAGCGGCAATTAGTTCCAAAGTCTAATTTCACATTGGGTGAAAAAGTGTTTCCTTTTAGCAATTTGATCTTCCAGCAATGCAAATCCAAAGAGAGTTGCTTAATGTTCATCTGAAAACAGAATCTGCTACAATGGTTGTAACCAGTGGGCCAAATTTTCTCATTTTCATCTATGTAATTCCACTTGAGAAATCAATAGGCCAAACTGAGCAGTAACAGAAATGAAAGGGTAAGTTACAAGTGGAGTATAAATTGGTCAGAAAATGGGTGTAAATGACAAAGAAGTGTAGCATGCATCAGACTGGCATGGGGAGGTGTTGTAATACAAATCTAAGATGTTGATTACACTGAAGGTAAGTGTAGCAGGTAATCAACTAACAAAAGGGAAGGAAAGTATAAAATAAAGTAGGGTCTGCTTTATTTCACACCTTCCTTTTAGGTCTTTGCTGTTATACCTTTCCTTCCACACCTTGGTGAGTAGAATGCACTAATTTGCATACCCACAAAATACCAAATTGATACATGTCTCACTATAAAGCTCACAACCAACAACAGTTAATTTGGCACAGAGTCTCTCATGAAGTCTGAATCCGACCCCAGGTGGAGCAGCATGGCATAGCAGTAATAATGAGACTACTGGCTTTTTCCCAAGGCAAATATACACAGACAAAACTAGAAACTGAGGAAAGTACAGGATATTCAAGATATGATTTAATATTTTGCAAAAGAGAAATGACAATATGTTCATTTCTGCATAGGAAAGATACCCTACCGCAGGCCTGCACTCGCAGAGAGGGAGGGAAATGAGACTGTTTTAGTGATTCTTAAGGAATCATTGGCTTTATGCGTTGGCTATGAGCACCTCTAAATTATGCAGCAGGGACTAATATATCAGCTCTTATAATCACCAGGAGTAAAGGCTGAAACATCTGCTTGGATCATCCTTTTCTAGGAGGCTTGAATCGAACATTAAAACCTCTATGGAAACTTCCTGTAGAATTTAATAGATACAACTCCCCTCAGGTATTATTAAAGTTTAACAAGGTTTATAAAAATTATTTTATAGAATTTAATAGTGAATGGGATCCTTTCGACAGTTTAAAAACAAATACTCAAGTGAGTCTAATTTTCTGTTCAGTCCAGGGGTTCAGACAAACCTACAGAAAGGATTTCATTTGCTATTGAATTGAATAGGACTTTTCCTTAAGAGGAGCTAGTTCAGAAAACTGCTGTCATTCAACTAAAGCTATGGGGGCATGAGACAACTAAATAAATCTGACCCTACTCCAGAGCCAAACACATTGGGTGTGTCTAGACTACAGGGTTTTGTTGACAAAAGTCCACTTTTGTCGACAAAACTATACCTGAGCCTACACTGCCACTGAGTTCGACAGAACTCAGCAGTTTTGTCAACGGCTGTAAACCTCATTCATGATAATGTCATGTCGACAAAGCGGCTTGCTTTGTCGACAGAACTGGATGTAGTCTAGACGCTCTTTGTCGACAGAAGCTTTGCCGACAAAAGCCTGTAGTCTAGATGTACCCATTGTCAGGCTCTCTTTTCTAAATGTTGGTGATCCCAGAGTTGGATTTCATGTTAGTCCTATAGGGGCTAGGGGAATAGAGTCCTTTCATTAAGTCTAAGATCCTAGAATAGAAAGTACTGATGTTCCTTCTTGAGCTGGTAGGGCTCAACCTTGGACTAATTCCATACATCTCTCATTTGCTAAACTGTTGCTGCCTCTCTCGGGAATATGTTCCAAAGTTAGACAAGCTACTGTGTTGCTTCTGGTATTTCACAGATACTGGTCTTTATTTAGGCTTTAAAGTACATTCTGATCTTACAAAAATAATCCTCACCAGCAAGGAAGTTGACTCCCTGTCTTCTAGCTTTTTTTTTTAATTTTATTTTTTGCTGTCCAACCCCATCAATACTCTGACGAGGGTGGTGAGCAAATTCCTCATTTAAATTAGTTATTGCTGTCCCTATCTCACTCTCATTTCAGCCCTAAAGTCAAGATTCCCAGCATATGTCCCAAGTGTCGTACAGATCAAGTGTGGAAATATACACAATACACTAAGTCCTTTGAGAATTTTAAGCCATTCTTCTCCTGGATTCGCAGATTTGAAGCAGCAAAATCATCTCTTTAAAAAAGGGAAGAATGGTTAAAATTGGAGTTGAGTCCAAACTGAAAGTCCTGATCTAAATTTGAAATTTTCCAAAATTCAGGATGTTGGCCTCCCAGCTTTGGTTGAACCTTTTGCAGTCTGTAAAATTCAAATGTGGGTTTAGGTTTTTTAATATCACTGATGTTAGGGAATGGCCAGATGCAGGATTTTGGTCTGCATGGATATATTTACAATGCCTGAACAGCAAATATAACAGTCAAGAAACATGGGAGGTCAAACTGGAATCCCTGAAAGGCTGTATTTATTAGGTGCACTTTCCATACAAGTTCAGTTTTAATTTCTCTCTGAATTCCTCTGTCCATTGCTCTGCCAAGCACAACAGCAAATCCAATAACTGAGTTGCCCCCAAGTCTGCTTCCATCTGCTGGATTTTAAAATACCATTTTTACATCAATGTAAAAATATAAATAGCATTCCACTACCTTACTCCCTGTAAGAAGTATTTTCCCATAGCCTTTCCAAGCTTTATTAAATATACACAACACTCATATGCATGTATTTACACAATACCAAATTAATTTTGTAAAGACACCATGTGAAACATTCAAATGTCATCCATCAGCACATTTTGGGATGGAAAAAATTACTGGAGAATGAATCAAGGGGCAGATAAGTTGTGGTGTATTTATGTTGCCCTGGTACACAATACAACACCAGATATCACTCCTTTTCAACAAGCATGATTTAAGTGCACAGCAGTGCTCATCTTTTAAAAAAATGTATCTATATAGCAGTGAATCTGTCTGTGTGTCTGTTCAAAAACTCATGCCCTGGCTGGGATGATTTAGTTGGGGTTGGTCCTGCTTTTGGCAGGAGGTTGGACTTGATGACCTCCTGAGATCTCTTCCAGCCCTAGGATTCTCCTAAACTGTAAGAGCTAGGACCACCACATTTGGAATACAGCTTCCTCTTACCCTAACTTAAACCAAGGTCAGGGTTTGGTTGTGCTTGGAAAATGAGAAGAGCCAGGAATGGGATTATATCCCATTATATGGAAAGGGAGGGGGTAGAGAGAGGAGGGACGTGAAAGGGAGGGGCACAGAGAGGGGAGGGACACAATACTGAGAGTGCCTACGTGGGACAGCAGCAGCACCAATAGAGTGGCCGACAGAGATGGAGATCTACTATGTTGCCTGCCAGCACACTGGTAAGGAGCCCCCCCACCTCAAATGTGTAGCCTGCAGGCTGTGGCAAGGGGTGATGGAGGAGGGAACAGCCCCCAGAGCCTGTCCCCTCACCAGACAGTTTGCAGACCATGGAGGGGCCTCTGGAGCAGGGTAGATGGAGAGGGGGAAGCCCCCAGAGCCTCACTCCCACAACAGCTTGCAGGATGGGGGAGCGGTAGTGAGGGGTGGCATTCTATGGGAGATAGCTGGTGGGGGGAAGCCCCTGAAACCTAGCCTCCTCCCAGACAGCCTGAAGGCCATGGGGGCTCAGCTTGAGGGGGCAACAATTTCTGGAGTCTGGTCCCTTCCAGACAGCCTGCAGGACATGAGGGAGGGCAACTCCGCGGGTCCCACTGGCAGGAGAGCACTGCCCCGGTCCCCTGGGAGAAGCTGCCAGCGGAGCAGCACCACCCATGCCACCACAAGCGGCCCCAGTAAACCCCTCCATTTCCCAGTGTCCTGTCCTGAGCCCCCTGCCCTGAATCCTGCACCTCCCACCTGCTTTGACTTCAGAAGTCCCTCCCTCTCCCCTGAACCCCCCCACACCTCCAAAACCTCTACACTAAGCCACCTACCCCCTGGTCCCTCTCACTCCAGCCTTCATTTTCCTTCATTTTTGAAAAAATGTATGCATTTTTAAAAAAATCCTTCGGTTACAGACCCACGCAATGCCACGTACATCTGCTAGTTGTATATAATGGGAGCTCCTAGGTACAGGACCATTTTTGAAACTCTAACATGACTATTTTGATGGATCCACTTCACAGAAAACACTGCACTGAAAAACACCCCAGACTTAGAAGGTGCCGAGTGGTCTCCACTTCTGCTGAAGTCAATGAGAACTGAGGCCATTCAGCACCTTGCATGACTAATCTCTTTGGGTACGTCTACACTGCATCCCTAGTTCGAACTAGGGATGCAAATGGAGATGACCAAAATAGTTAATGAAGCGGAGATTTAAATATCCCGCGCCCCATTAACATGATCTCGCTGGCACGCTAGTTCCAATCACAGCTGATTCGAACCAGGAAGTGCTCGCCGGGACGCGTTAGTTCGGACTAAAGCCCTTAGTCCGAACTAATGTTACTCCTCAAAAAATGAGGAGTAACATTAGTTCGGACTAAGGGCTTTAGTCCGAACTAACGCGTCCCGGCGAGCACTTCCTGGTTCGAATCAGCTGTGATTTGAACTAGCGTGCCGGCAAGATCATGTTAATGGGGCACGGGATATTTAAATCTCCGCTTCATTAACTACTTCGGTCGTCTCCATTTGCATCCCTAGTTTGAACTAGGGATGCAGTGTAGACGTACCCTTATTCAGTAACTCAGATCTGTGATGGGCAGCTAAGGCCATAATGTTAGATGTACATTATGAGAATACAATAGATTAGTTCCTTAAGCCTAGCAAAACCTATTACACCATGTTTAAGCATAGAAATATAGAAGGTTGGCATATCACTTCCCAGAAATGCTACTTTCTATCTCCACAGGAGCCTAATGATTCTGGAAGAAGATGAGGTCTCCTGATTCACATTCTTCTGGTTACATCCCAGTGTGTTCATGCACAAAGCAAAAACAGTAAAAGAGAAAAAAAAATAAATGAAAACTTATATTCTGATGCCCTTAAAAATGGCCTTTACTATCCTTCCTCTTACAGACTGTCTTAACAGTGCAGTACCAGAGGCTGGCCGTGGCAGCCTTTAATGACAACAATGTGTTCTAGAGAAAAGCAAAACTGGAAAATATAATACTTGATCTGGGGTCAAGAGAATGGTGTAGGCAGCATTTAGGGTTAGAAGCTCAAGTTTTGGGACTGGTTCTGTTCAATATCTTCATCAATGATATTGTCACAGAGAATACGCTTATTAAGTTTGCAGATGATATGAAGCTGGAAGGGGTTGCAACTGCTCTGGAGGATAGGTTCATAATTCAAAATGATCTGGACAAACTGGAGAAATGGCCTGAGGTAAACAGGATGAAGTTTAATAAGGACAAATGCAAAATACTCCACTTAGGAAAGAACAATCCATTTCACACATACAGAATGGGAAGCAACTGTCTAGGAAGGAGTTCGGCAGAAAGGGATCTAGGGATCATAGTGGACCACGAGCTAAATATGAGTCAACAGTGTGACGCTGTTGCAAAAACAGCAAACATGATTCTAGGATGCATTAACAGGATAGGTTATTAGCCTGAAATGGAGGTTGAAGTTCTTGCACTGCTACAGACTTACCTTAGACAAGTCACTAAGTCTTTCTGTACTTCAATTCCTCACCTGTAAGCAGGGGACAATAGCATTGCCCTATTTCTGGGGAGTGGTAAGAGTAAGCACATTCACAGATTGTAAGGTGCTCAGCTACTGAATGCGGGAAGGACCAGGTAAGTACCACAGACAGACTGATTTGGTATAAAAGTCAAAGCAGAATCAGGCCCTATATTTTAAAAAATGGCTGTCAATTATACAGGCCCTGTATGGGAAAATTATGGGAAAAAATATTTGGCACCAAAACCACAACCACAGACCAGATAGTCAGGATTATGGGGGGAAGGGCAGGCGCAAACAATAGAGCCCACATTAAATCCTCATTGTGAAATTGCACCCACAAAACTGGAGATCAATTAGAGGCCCAAACAGAAATTAATCTACTGGTTTAAAGGTAATTTTATTTTTCTGCAATAAACACACCTGAGTGAGAACTTAACTGTGACCACTTTCTTTGGTGCATTTAATGCTCACAACAGGAGCCAGGTGGACCACTTTATACTAGGGATGTTAAGAGATGGGTATTTAACTAATCGAGTAGTCAATACAATTTTTATCAACTACTCGATTAGTCAATAAACAGTCCAGCTCAGTCTCGGCTCATGCTGGGTGTGGGACCAAATCCTGCTGCGGCTCTGCAATTTAAAAGGCAGTAGGAGCCAGGCAGTCTGCCCCCCCCCCCTCCCGGCTCTTACTGCATTTTAAATTGAAGAGCTTCAATGGGGTTTAGTCCTAGACTGGCATGAGCCGGGACTGAGCCAGGCTGCTAGCCCGTCCAGCTCCTATTACATTTTAAGTGCACAGCCCACCTAAGAGTAAAGAGGTGCATCAGCATCCTGGGCCTCTATTTCTATTTATAAAACCTCAAAGGTGCCCATCCCCCTGTGGTTGCCATGACACAAAGGACATCACACACTATCATTCATGTTTCATGCAATGGACTAACCCTCTGACACAAAGCAAGAGTCTCCCCTGACTGCAGTCCATTTCACAAATAACTCAAAGCTGCACCTGCTGGAGAACATATACTGCATGCAACACAGAATCACAGATGATTAGGACTGGAAGAGACCTCAGGAGGTTATCTAGTCCAACCTCTGCTTGAAGCAGGACCAACCTCGACTAATTCATCCCAGCCAGTACTTTGTCAAGCCAGGCCTTAAAAACCAGGCCTGTAATAAACACACCCGAGTGAGGACTTAACAGTGACCACTTTCTTTGGTGCATTTAATGCTCACAACAGGTGCCAGGTGGACCACTTTATACTAAGGATGTTAAGAGGTGGGTATTTAACTAATCAAGTGGTCGATAGAATTTTTATCAACTACTCGATTAGTCAATAAACAGTCCAGCTCAGTCTCGGCTCATGCTGGGTGTGGGACCAAATCCTGCTGCGGCTCTGCAATTTAAAAGGCAGTAGGAGCCAGGGTCCCTGCCCCCTCCTCCTTTCTCTCCTCCCCCCAGCTCTTACTGCATTTTCCCCTTTGTAAAATGGGGATAACGCTATTGATCTTCTTTGTAAAACATTTTGAACCCTACTGATCAAAAGCTCTAAATAAGAACTGGACATTTCTATTGTATTTTTAGCTGAGTCTCAAGGTGACAAAGACAGGGAAAGGTGCAGCAAAATCCATACCATGTGCAGATGGAAAATTCTGCTCTTGGTCACATTTGTAGTTTATTCATCTAGTAGCAGCCCTGGGCTCCATAAATCTATTACACAGCGCTTGTAGGTCATAAACATTGGCTGCACTGCTTGCTGACTTTAATGCCTATATGGAGCAGATAAGAGCTTGTTTTTTCAGCTCTCACTCGAAAGACATAGCAAACTGCATGGATCTCCATTTACTTGCACCCCGTTCTTCACAAAACATGCCCCTTTTATGACAGAAAAAGAGTTGACGTCCTACCTCCCTGATGTATAGCGTCTTCAAGCACCGACGCGGCAATTAAGTCAGTGGTAGCCAGATCCTGCGGGTCACCTGAGGTACAAACCCAGCGGAATGGCCCAAATCCTAGGGAAAAAATGTCTCTGGGAAGGGAATATGTTTCATTAAGAGATAGTTGAAATTCCTGTCTGATTTATCCTGGCAGTGAGCAATGCTTTTCTTTCATTAACTGAAGATGGAAGTATTCAAAATATTTCAAACAAACTAATCTAAACAGAAAGCACTTGGGACTGTTTCTCCAGAATTTAAACAAAGCTGTCTCACAAAGACATCAGTTGGTGTGGGGGAAATCACAACTGTACTTGTAGTGCTAGAAAACTCAAGGCAGCTCACTGAACCAGGGTGTTCCCCAGTTGATCGCAGGTCCTTTCATAAAACAAGATCTTGGAAGCCTGGCTGTCTCCCTCCTTATACCAGGGTAGTCAAATGACTTCTGTGAGGTTATGCCTGGTTTACACCAATGTGAGAGGAGCACCCGGCCCCTCACTTTAATATCCACAGAGTGAGAGCTTGATTCAGCTGCTCTCTTGCACCCTTGCCTATTTCCAGCTATGGAACATGAATGCAAAGTGGGTGTATATGTATACATCCATGGAAAAGAATGGAGAAGACTGATTTGGTAGCCCTCTACCTTACATTGCATGTTGAGGGAACTTTTTGTTCCCATTCTATTTAGGCTGGCCCCTTGTCCAGTATTAAACCAGACAGTCCAGGGTTTGTTCCTATCTAGTACTCAGAACTGGATGTAGTTTTGTGCAGTACCAGATGGGGTTGCCCTTTTGAAGAGCACACTGCTTAATCCCCATCAGCATGACCTGGCATGTGATTGGGAGCAGAGTGGCTCTTAAAAATACTCCCCCCCACCCCCCGTGTGGCATAACCTTGAACACACCATGTGCCTGAGGTCATGCTGCACGGGGCAGAGCGGCGCGCTCTTAACAATGGTACCCCAGTGTGGTATGACCTGGCATGCACCATGCCCATGGCATGTCACACTGCTATTGGTAAAGTGGCCGCACCCTTAAAAATGGCAACCTCTGTGCAGCATACACCTCACACGCACCGTGCATCCTAGACCACATCAGTGGGAGTGGAGCAGTGCACTCTTAAAAATGGCATCCTCCTCCCCCCCCCATGCAACATGACTGTGCGTGCCCTGTGTGTCCATGATCATACCAGTGGGGGAAAGGTCGCGCCATCCTGGACACCGCTCCAATGCAAATGAGCATGTGGCCCACACCACAGTAATACTAGAGCAAGTGGCATTAGCACTGAGCCCAGATGGGACAATTCATGGCTGAACACCTCTCACTTCACCACCATTTTATTCTTGGAATAGGTCTAGGCAGGAGCTGGCCCTGTAATTCAGGTCCCTGAGTTAACCTATTTTTTGACTATTCCCCTAAAAAGCAGATCAGTTTATGGTTCCTTTTCTACAGTAGATGGAAACAGCTCATTGCTCCAAGTTATCTATTTCTTCCAACATACCCCATAATGTGCTGAACATAGGAAGGGTATCGGAATTCAGTTTTATTGGCTCCTCTTTTCTCGACATCAGCACCTGCAAATAGATTTTAAATGCAGATTAGTTGATGAGAAGAGCAGCTACATACTTGAGCCAAATTGTTCATGTACAACACAGGTCTTCCCTTTTTTTAAGAGTGGCCTTATGGTACCTTCCTTCTCCTACATCCCTTTTAGGGGTGCTGTGTGAAAGGGAGGGGGCAGCTGGGTGAACATGGGGAGGGTAATGGGTAGTAGAGGATCTTCTTTTAAGGGAACAATGGAGGCAGTGTGGCCAGGGCAGTCCTCCACTGGAGCAGCTCTGTCACAGAGCTGGCTGGAGAGAGGGAACAAGATGCCTGAATCAGCAGACTGACAAAAGGCTTCTGTATGGAAGTCCCTGGCCTCCTGTAGCTACCAGGGTTGTGGAAAGTCACACAGCTCATATCTTGGGAATGGGCAACACCTTCCCTAAATTAAAAAAGGCAGGAGAAATCTATAGGGAAAGCTGTGATTTCTTCCCCCTTTCTATGGGATTTTCCACAAGGGAAGCAATACAGACAGCTCTAAAGTAAATAGGTGCTGAAGCAAATTGACACACAGCCGACCCAGCTCTGCATCTCCCCACTTTGGACACATTACACTCTCCTTGGCTTTAGCATTTAGGCTCAAGTGAAATTCTCTTAAAATCTCCCACCATTTCTTATATTTGTTTTAAATGTTCTTGTTAGAAGAAAGAAAACAGACTAAAAAAGCTGAATGCAACCAAATTAACTATATTCAACGGGTCTTGTATTTTGCAGAAGCCACAGAACATCCTCAAAGCCAGCCCTACTTCTTTCTTTTTCTTGTTTTTTTAATTGCTCATTTGTGCTGTTCATTTTCCAGTTTTACAATGCCAGCTAGTGAAAGAAAAAAAAATACTCTTACTAAACCCTGCAGTACCAACAAGGGGGTGCTTAAAAAGTGCCATGAAGCCCTTGAGGTGAGATTTTGTGCTGCACCACAAAACTCAAGAGTCCCAAAGGAGGCAAGGAAGACACCATTGTACCCTTCCAGTTTGAGGCTACTCCGTGGACAGAACTGCTGTTTATAGCAGCCACTTGTCTCCTCAGACTGAAAATACAAAAGGTTTGTATCTCAGAAGGGGAGGAGCAAAGGTGGGCTAGTCATGTGTCTTCTACCAGCTCTGTAACAAGGACCCACTTGGAATGTTTGTCCCACCCTTAGCCCTGCCTCTGAAACCAGATGTGTGGGGGACCCTCATAGATCAGCATATGGCTGGCCAATATAGTCAGTGCCTGCAACAGAGAAATTTTTATGTGGGGGACCCTCATAGATCAGCGTATGACTGGCCAATACAGTCAGTGCCTGCAACAGAGAAATTTTTCACTCGCTTTTTCAAGGGTCTTTTAACAGCCACTGTGCAGGAGCCATTGTAGAAGGGGGAGTCCTTCCCCCAACATTTTAAAGGGTCAAACAAATGCTCTGCATGGAGATATCTCGACAATGTGCTCACACAGAGGCAGCAGCAGGATCAGGGCTTTATTCTGCAAACTGCACACTGGCATGCTGTTATTTTGCATAGAATGGAGGCAGGAGTATCTAGATTGGTACCCACAGTTCAACTGCTGGTGTGAGTTGTGCCAACTCAGCAGAGGCTTCTCTTTAGAAAGCTTGGACCCTGGAGTCCATCATCTATGCCCAGCCTTGGGTGCCAAGTTATGGATGTGAAATTAGAGGACACTTTTAAAACTGTACATTTTATTTTTCTCCTTTAAGGAAAGACAGACTTTGCTTTCCATCCACCCTTACAAAAAAAGTCAGTGCTGATACTTTAAAAACCAAAGGGGCATCTTTTCAGTGGTACAGAGCACCTGTTTCTCACACTGACGTCACTTGGAGCTGTAGTTGCCTATGAGAACTGGAAACAAACACTACAGAATAAAGCCCAATACCTCTGGCCTTCATGAGAAAAAGAGCAGCACCAATTTAATTTCCAGGCAGAACAGACTCTACTGATGCAATCTACATAGAAGACCTGATCTTACAAAGGTAATGAAATATATTTTACTGGCCAGAAAAGAGAGAAGTGCCTTGATTAAATCTAGGAAAGCCAGCATCCACTCACCGGCTCTCTGAGCTTCCAAGAGAAAAGCATTGCCATAGTCCCAAAAAAACATGCCTTTATCAGACAGCCTGTTTATAGCAGCCACTTGTCTCCTCAGACTGAAAGTACAAAAGCAGAAAGTTAGCTCTGATATTCATTCATTTATATAAAAGGGCACTAACAGGAACACCCTAACACAGCTGATATGGCTTGGGATGTGAAAGGGTGGGGAAAGTAGAACAGATGAATTTGGAAGACCTAAGATCAACCCATTGCCTAAGCCTGATAGACACCTAATAAAAATAACTTTCCACATCTGTAGCCCTGTTACTACAGATGTGAAAAGTTAACCTGTAACCGGCAGGGTCTGGAGCAGTTCCCTGTCTGCCTTGGGCAAGGGACTGCCCAGCCCTGCAGGGGGCTCACTGTGGACAGAGGCTGCTCTTGTCCAGATTAGCTCCCATCTGTGGTTGGCCTGGACACTTCTCAGGCAGGGGCGGCTCCAGTGTCCAGAAGAGTTTCTGTCTGTGAGAAGCCCAGGCGCCCCACAGGCAGGGGCTGCACCGGCATCCGGAACAATTTCTGTCCATTGGGGATTCAACCTGCTGCAGATAGGGGCTGCTCCGCTGGGAGCCAGTGGTAGCCCCAATACCCCCCCACACATGGGGGAGTGTACAGGGGGAAGGCTGAGAAATGGCAGCCAGTCCCAGCATGGGACTGGAGCATCCCCCCCACCCAGATGAGGCTTAATTGGTTAACTGGTTAAACCGGTTAATTAATCGGGATTCTACATCCCTTCCTCTTCTCCAAAGCTCTCCAAATGCTTTACAAAATATTAAGTGAACCTCACCTCATCACTGTGATGTAGGGTGAGTAACTCACAGAAGTCACCACATATAACTCAGAAATGCAGCCACCTCTAGGTTGGAACACAAGAGCTGTTGAACCACACACAGCAACATTGAAAAGAAAGTGAATCATGGAAGTCTGATAACTAGCTGAATCTACAGAGATTAATTCAGAGAAGCAGCATGTTGTTATTGTATCTGAAAAGCCAACACAGCCCAGATATCTATACTATTATGACAATTGCTAGTGGACCTTTAATGACCACGGTGATCTGGAGCTTGGTTTTATATGTTATCCAGAGGAGACCTCCTACCTCAGCACCATACCTGTTAGCAGCAAGCTACAACACAAGTTAAATACTAAGCTAGGCCAAAGAGTGCCACCGACTAAATTAACAGCAGTACTTCCCACACATGTGCCATCCAAATAATAAGCCATCAGAGCTTCTGAGATCTAACAGGAAAAATTACAAAAGATGGTACTGCTAGAGACTGCTTCTTGGCACAGAGCTGTGTGTTTCCAGTAATAAGGTAAACCTAGCAAAAGCCAGCTACTCCAGACATATATAATGTGAGCAACTCCTCCTTCCTTCTGGATCAGAGATCTAAGAGCTTCAGGCAGCAAGAGAGCTACCACTGCTAATCTTTGCCACCTCTTCTTGGATCCAGGAGTTATGGACTGAAAAACCCCAGCAAAACCCAGCAAATGGCAAAAGCTCAAAATCAATACAACTGGGGCTCTTACATTTGTAATGGTCCCAGAAATAACGTCCACTTCCAGCAAAGTCATTTGTTAACTTAGGATGAGATAAAAATTCAGGACATTAATGAAACCACTTTTAGCCCTCTCTGACCTTCTCCAAGGAGGATTTCCCTTCTCTGGAGATCTTTGCAATTCTTTGCTTCTTTTCCTTTAACTAGCCCTTCAAAGCACACACAAGGGCCTGACTATTTTGACCTCATTGCAGTTCCCAGTTGTTTTTTGGAAAAAAATCCAGGTCCCACATCAGAATAACTAACAAACAAACAGAGAGTAAAACAATCCCAGGAGATAATTCAGTCCATCTCTTGAGCAACACAGGGGCCTATTTTCCTCTTTTTTTCAGCGGTATAAATCATGAGTGAAGACAATGGCATTAAATAGCTAGCTAAACAATTTAACCTATTGCTTAGCTATAATTTAGCTAAGTAAGGAAAGAATCAGACCCTGATTCTAATCTCTATTGTTTCTTCTTCAGTGCTTATTTGCACAGTTCCCAATTCTAATCTCACTTGCAATGGAATAAATGAGAAATTAACAGAATTAAATCAATGCATAATCAATAAGATCAGGCTCATTAAATTATCCTGCATCTTATGAAAAGGCCCCACTGGAAATTAGCTTACATGCAATGCTGTTCTCAGAACAGCATCTAAAATGAAGGACTGAGAGACTGAAATAATCATTTTAGGCCCCTGGGCCAAAGCCAAACAGGTGACAAATTCTGTCTTCTTCTGGTAAAAACCTCTTCAAGCAAGAGTGTTTCTAAATGGAATGAGATCAGCAGGAGTGAAGAATAATAGCATTCAGAGCCAAACAACCTGTGTAACAGCAAGCACCTGTTGGGTTTTAGTGAGGAACAATAGCATTTCCCCTGCTCCTAGCCAATTAGTGCAGCTACTAGCAGGTCTGGAAATGATACAGAATATAGATGTTGTTTATCTTCTGCTCTGGATGTTTAATAAAATCTAGTTCACATGCTAGGTCCTTACATAGGCTATAACGCTCAGCATACCACTGAAATAGACCCCAGCAGATATTTTCAGACCTTAGTTCATATACAGTAGGAAATAACCCTACATAGCAGGTTGAGGGACTAAACAACCCAATAAACCGTTTCCCTTTCTAGAATCTGTGGAGCCGATTCTATATCAGATACACCTATGTAAAAGCAGCCACTCTGCAGGATCTAAAAGCATTAGCCCAGTGTAACTTCAGCAATGTTTCTCCAGATTTACATGCAGGGTGCCGTCTAAACTGTACCTGTTGCTCGAAATAAGCTATGCAATTTGAGCTATGCAAATTGCGTAGCTTATTTTAAAATGTGGTGCTGCCTACACAGCACTTATTTTGAAATAAACTGCTATTCTGAAACGTTCCTTACTCCTCGTGGAATGAAGTTTACAAGGACATTGGAATAGCGAGCCCGTTATATTTCCGCTCAACAGCAGCAGTCTAGCTATTTCAGGATACTGCAGGTATCCCAAAATAGTGCTGCAGTGTAGACAAAGCCTGAGAGAACTGAAAGCAGAGTCTGGCCCATTGATTCTGTCAGCCTTTCTGTGGGGAAGACAAGAATCTTGTCACGAGAGAAGCAAAATAAACACTGAGCCTAGAAAGTTTTAGCAGCCATACCCATGTAGCCAAGGTTGGATGTTCCTCTAACAGGTCTGCTCTCAGAATTATTGCTGGGATGTTCTAGGGCTTGTGCTATGCTGGAGGGCATCCTCACGGATCACAGTGGCCCCTTCTAGCGTTGGGATCTATGAATAAGATCACTGTTTACCTTTCTTGCACCAGGGTAAGGAACCTCCCTGGATTGGTCAACATGAGCTGATTTGCCTCCTCAAAGCTATTGGGATCTATGAATAAGATCATTATTTACCTTTCTTGCACCAGGGTACAGAACCTCCCTGGATTGGTCGACATGAGCTGATTTGCCTCCTCAAAGCTGAGCTGCACTGGGTAGTATCCTCCACTGAACGGATTGTGACAGGAGGTTTGGTCTGATCCAAGATCCACTAACTGTTCTCCTGTTGTGTCAAGCTCATGGACAAGCCTCTCCCTATGGATAGGAAAGATAATGAATAGACTGCTTGTCTGGTGGCTGCCATTGCAAGCTTCACCTCATAGTAATGTTCCTTGGGAGCATCAGCAGTCCCTATTAGGGTTTTTCAGGTATATTCCTAAAGATTTTTTATAATATTACAAGGATACTATGGATTGGCAACACCTGTTTGTGGATGCCTGACATAAATATAATCCTTGTCATTGATTTCAGTGAGCTTTGGATCAAGCCACCAAAGCAGCACATTTTCTATTGTCGATATTCTGATTACCAAGGGATTGTCCTTCATTAAGACACCATTCTCTTGTTTCTGTTACCAAGGATTTATTTTAAAACAGCGCTCAGTGCTTTGTTACCTTTGCTCTTTGTTTCCAAAGGCAAAGTTATCCATTTGTGCCCAAAGGGGTACTTTGGTCAACAAAATGTAATTCTCCATTTTGGAATTTTAACACCCAATTTACCAGCAAGAGTCAAGACATTGCTTTAATGGTTAGTTTGAAGGATAATTCCTTTTATTGACAAGCTTGGGCATTGTTCCAAGCTAACTCGCAAGGAAGAGTGCCACCTACCTTCGGGTACTTACCAAAGATCTACCACATTCCCGTGGTAGCCCAAACTAAGGGTAAATTTATTATTTCTTGCTTCCCTATAATAGGTTAAAAATGGAAAAAATTATCATCTGAATAGTTGCTGTTTACAAACTACACATGAACATGCAAATCATTCATTCAAAACAGCAGAGAAAAACAAGGGAGGTTCCAACAGAACGAGAGGTTATGAACGCTATCAGCCTAAACCTACAAGACCCCGATGGAGCAGTGGGATTCCTTGAGTAGATGGGGAGTACTGGGTGCATAAGAAATGCAGGATTAGGCACTGTACCCAGAACTGGACATCACAAGGAAGAGCCAGCCTTCTTAGTTAGACAGGCTTTCTGGAAACAGGAAGAAACCTCCAAAGAGTTTCAGAGCAAACAGAGCTCAGAGTGTGCTGTTAGTTCTGAACACGTTAAGGTGCCAGACAAGCCAAACACTATTCCTTTCATTTAAAAACCTCAACAGTATTCTTTAAAACCACATCCCTGAGATGGAGATTTCATACTTCCACTGAGCTCATCCTTTTTAAACCAGAGTGATTCTGTAATGGAGGTAAGGAGTAACAACAAGATAGGGAATTCATGAGCTGAGTTTCTACGGATCTTATTCGCTCTCCATTTACCTCATTTAACAGCAGAGATGGGATAAGGGGAGCTATCCTTTAATCCTTCCCCTGCACACCCATGTAGGGGATTGCAAGAGCTGCTGTAGTCATTTCAGCCTTTGAGCAGCATTTTGCCCAGAGGGACAAACACAGCACTTCATGAGCCATACCTGAGCCGAGCAATGCAGTGGTCCAGGCTATCGGTGATTTCCATCAGCCAACCTTGTCTGTACCGTTTCAGAAGTGCAGCTTCATCAACCTGAGACAAATTGCAGAGAGACAGGAGTGTCATCTCACCTATGGAAGAGCTTCCCCAGACCATCTTTAACTTTAAAATGATACTGGATAAAACACTGACAAAAGTACATAAGGCAACACTTCTGCAGTGGCTACAATGACTAGGTGATTTAATAGATCTTCTATACATCTAGCTTCTAAGATTCCCTCTGTTCTGGTTTCTGTTGTTCCAGACCAGCAATGGAACAAGAATTGAATCTTTTCTCAAACCTCCTCCCAACCCCAAACTGTGGTTTTGATACAATGGGGGTCAGGTCATTGCTTAATTTGTCATGAAATAAGTGTCAGAGCTCAAGCAATTATTTTACTTTTGTAAATGATGCAGGAAACCCAGAAGTGCCGGAGCTATGAACTGCCAAGCCCAGAGGTGCTGGGTCTCAGCTGGCAAATCCAAGCACAAATTAAGCACTGAACCAGATCCAGACCAACCTGGTTTTACAAAACAAACCGCTACTGACAGCTAGTTAGGAAATAATTTTTCACACCAAAAGGTTTCATCACCAACCTGGTTTTACAAAACAAACCGTTACTGGCAGCTAGTTAGGAAATAATAATTTTTCACACCAAAAGGTTTCATAGCATTTTTTAAATTTCTGTTGAAATTTTTCATATTTTAACTGAGAAACTGAAAACAAAAAATGTTTTTGTCTTCAGATTGTCAATGAAAACCCAAATATTTTCTGTGAAACTTGTAATTTTTTCATTAACATTTCCAGTTAATCTAAATGCCATTTTCTGTTGAAAACACAGAGATGGCCATTTTTTTCAGCAGCTCCAGCCCTGCCTAAGGAGGTTTTACGGAACCAAAACCAACACCAAATTTGGTCTTCTCTAGAGAGTGTTTTTGGAATTTTCAAACATTTCAGCAAAAAATTGATACAAAATTAGCAAAATCATTTGTCTTCTTCCAGACAGCTGTCACTTCTATAAAAAAAATAAATGGTTCAAAACTGGACCCAAGTATCCAATGTCCTCTTTGTTCTGAATGTTGAGGGTCCAGTTAAGATGAATCCCAAATCTGAGCCCTACCCCATCATTACTCCTGGTGTGTTTCTGTGTGTGAATCATACACACACAGAGATATACTATGGAGACTTTGGCAGTGACTCCATATTTAAAGATTAATAGCTAAACTCACACATCACTAAGGCTTCTTATATGAGTTACAAGTTCCAGCCACAATGCAGGCTTAAAAACTAAAGTAAGCCAATTTTCTACTGCAGTGCACCAACTGATTAAAGCAGCCAGGATGGTGTGAATGAGCACATAGATATACAGAGTATTTTATAATAACCCAATTAAACAACCATTCGTTCCACAGTGCACCCCAGCATTTTCTTTCTATCATTTCCAGCCACCAAACTATTTATATGTAGGCACAAAAGTTATATATTTGGGACTTGATCTAATGTACTCCAAAGTCAATGGAAAGTCTCCTCTTGCCCAGTTATTTCAGTGTGTGAAACATTTCATCAGTTCCCATGCCACTGATTAGGCATATCATTCCAAAATTTTGGTTTGGGGCAACACCAGTGGAGAGGAACTCCAAGAAGTCAGTTTGATAGAGAAGACTGCTTCTCTTTGTATGCTGTTTTGATACTATGCAAAACAATACCAGTGATGGAGAAAAGAATTCAGAATGGCATATAACAAATATATGATTTTTCAATTATAATTCTAAAAGTCTGAGTGCAGCACTGATTGGGCCGTCTAAATCCTCTATGTTACAGTATTCTATGTACTGTATTTCTGACCTATCTTGACAGGGTTTTGGATCTCATTCTTGGATCACACTGAAAGACATCAACTTCCTTTTCACTAGAGTCTAGAAAATCTTTTATGCTCTTTGATCAGCAAGACAGCAGTTTTTAAAATGATAGGTTCATGTCACACCTGGTGTAACTCCAGTGGGACTAGTGGAGTTACACTAGGGATCCTCTTCTTTAACTCTATACCCCTGCATAATAGATTAAAGAAGGCCCAGCTGAGATTTATGCCTTAAATTGAAGGTATGTAGCATATATATTGAAAATAGATTTTCTTTTGATTCCAACATACCCATGCAGGGTTTGCAACCCAAACACTGCAGCATTTGCTATCATGTCAGGTAATCTGGCCATAAAAAATTAGACAGAACTGGCAGTAATCCCCCACCCTTGCAACACCTCTCAGAGTGTTGGGTATGATGCAGACATGCAAGTAGAGTCAGTGGCAGCAAGACTCCATAGGAAGTGCTACAGGGGACCCAGAGCGGTGCAGAGGAAAATGCCCTCTGAAATGATAGGCCAGACTCTGCATAACTGTATATGGAATTCCCAGCTGACCCACTGGTTATACTGGCTGTCAAGGCTGGGTTGTGGATGGCCAGATCTAGTGATCTGAACGGTTACCAGAGTACAAAGTCAGGGGTCAAGAGTCAGCTGGGTCAGGCTACCAGAAGATCAGAACCGTGAGTTGGTAACCAGAGTCAGGCCAGGTCAGGACACCAGGAGGTCAGAGACAAGAGACAAAGAGGAGTTCAGAACCATGGGTCAGAAGTCATGAGCCATGGGAATGAAAGCAGGAGCCACAAGGTACACAGTCCAGAGCAGGGTGGATCCCAATTGGTCAGACAGTTGCATGTTCCTGTTGATCACTCAGCACAACAGGCCAGTCGGCTGCTTTGGGACTCCACTAGTTGGAATTCATGGGTGGAACTTCAAACTGGAGTTGGGCTTCATGGGTCCTAGGTCAGTAGTTTTCAGCAAGTTGCCAAGTGGAGCTGGATTTGATCCTGGCTATGTTCACTTCCCACGTCAGCAAGTTGCCAAGTGGAGCAATGACACATGGCTATCCATATAGACCTGGATTTGATCCTGGCTATGTTCACTTCCCACTCTGAGCTGGATCCAACTAATGCCCATCACACGATGACTTAAGATCTTGCTGCTGGAATTTGGGGCATACATTCTATCCTACTGTGAGCTTACCAATGGGTAAGGTGACCAAATATCCTGTTTTTAAAGGGACGGTCCCATATATAAGCCCCCCTGCAGGTGTCCTGTTCTTTTCTTAAAAACGAACATATTTTCCTATATTTTCTGTCTCTCCCCATCAGTGCTCATGGATCCTACTTCTGGCCAGATCCCTGCTTGCCAGCTGCCCACCCACCAGAAAGAATCCTACTAGACAGTATTTTTTTTACCAGGGACTCAATCAACTTGATCTTAATTTGAACATTTGTACTGCAATAGTTCTGATTGACTGCTATTGAACTTGCTTGAATACAAATAATGTTATCAGGTGTCCCATATTTAGCATAGAGAAATATGGTCACTCTACCAGTGGGAGGGCATTATATGTCACGTATCCTTTAGTCTGATGTTATCACTATGTGTAAATTCACAAGGTTGCACCTTGAGCCCTAGGAACTGGGTAAAGGTGTGTGTCCCTACAGTGTGGAAGGGATAAACAACCACTGTGATCAACCTTTTTAAAAATTCTGTATTAGTAAGCCCAATCCCGTAGTTTTCACTCAAGCAAAAGCCTCGTCAATATCTAAAAAACATTTTTGAAAATTCTGTATTGGTAAGCCCAATCCCGTAGTCTTCACTCAAGCAAAAGCCTCGTCAATATCAACAATGTCTCAGGCACACTTTATATTAAGAGTAGAGCATTTGTTTGGTGAGTTAGTAAATGTTTAAGAAGTGGTTCAATTGTCCTAAAATCCTACAGATTCTCAACCTTTTTGGGCACAGACCCAGTTGTAAATGTTTATGGCTTGTTGCAACCCAGTACAATAGTCTGGGGGTGGAGGCCCTGAGGTGGTTTTTGTTGGATCTTGCCCTGAGGGGGATTGGGACTTGCCTGATACTCACCCCACAGGGGCAGCTCCTGTGCTGGTGCTGACTGGACTTGGCAGTGCACCCTCAAGTTGGGGTATCTCCACTGACTGGACCCCTGAGTAGAGTCATGATTTGGCTCATGGGGTGGCAGGGCCACTCACTCAGATTTGGTCTATCCAGAATCCTGTCATCATGGCGGCTGGGCCAGACCTGAGCGGTGCCAGGACCCCGGAGGGTGCACAGCCTGGAGCAGGGTAATGAGCCCTGCTAGCCCCCCTGGGACAGAAGACACAGGAGCTGCCAAATGATCCTTTGAAACATTCTTGAGGCAGGTTTTTCTCTAGAGGCAGGTTTGGATAATTTGGGGGGGGGGTGCCCAGACCAAGTCCAAGTCCACCCCCCCCCCCCCACCCTGCCTCTGGGAGGGACTTTGGGTGCCGGGTGCGGACTCTGGGGTGGGGCAGATGGTTAGGGGACAGGAGGAGGTTGGAGGTCAGTGCTTATCTTGGGCAGTGCTAGTTCTTGAAAGTGACCCACCCTCTGGCAGTGGCTCAGTACTCGGGGCAGGGACCCCCCCAAGGGCCATAGGGATGTGCTGGCCACTTCTGGGAGTGACACAGAGCAGGCAGGCAGCAAGCTGACCCATCTATTATTCCTTCTACTGATGTCAAAGATCACCCAGTGGAGGTGGTGGCCACCAGGGATCCCTGGGTCTTTTTAAATGACCAGGGGCAGCAAGTGGAGACAGGAGACATTCTGGGGGAGGTCTTTGGGGCCAGGGAGAGGCCCAGTCTTCAACACTGGTGGGGCTGAATTCCTGGGCCCTGAATATTCCTGGAACACAGGTACCACAGGCCTATATAACTTCCTGCCCCGGCCAATTTTGGGTCCCAACCCACAAGCTGAGAAACACTGCCATAGTTCAACAGATTTCTTGTCTTTTAACCTTCTATACTTCCTTCTACCAATGTCAAAGACCACCCATCCACCCATTTAAGCTCAGTTCAAGGGAGCAGAATTGTATTTATGTTCTTTAGCAAAAGAACAAATAAATAATTACATAAGGAAACAGCCCCAGTATTCCCAGTCTCCCAGTATATGATTGATCTCTACTAATTATATTTTGGAATAGAAAATTATTCTGAGTTATGTAACTTAAATAGATGGGGACTGATTCCAGTCAGAAACCAAAGAAATTTTAGAACAACAATCATTATAAGGCGTATCAGAGCATAAAGGCAACAGCAAAATCCATGTTCGAAGAGGCACTGTTTGTTTTATTTATATTTCAAATCAGAGTGGATTTCATTTCAGTCCTACATTTCAGAATTACATTTGTCAACATTAGAATTCTAGTGTTTGGCTTCTAGATGTGTCGCTTATCCATCATTTTATAAACCTGATGGGTCCATAACATCCTGTATGTGGATTGCTAATGCATTAGTGGTCTTTAACTTCCAGTAAAGGTAGCTAATGTTAGTAAAATATCATTAACATTGATCTAACTCTAGGTAAAAGTGAGAGGAGAGGTTGTTTTGCTATTGGCTCTCATATTTTAAAAAAAATTGGAAGTGGTTGTTAGACAACTTTCCTCTTGGAGCATCAAACAGACGAGCCATTCTGGCAGTCTTTGCACAGGCAATGCTCCCATTGCGCTAATGATAAATTCTGCTTCCCCCAAACTGAGGCTGCAGAGCAGGGATTTG